AATATTCTACATCAGAAGAAAGTAAAGAGAAGGTAGCTTTTAAGCCACAAACATACAGCAGAGAGAACACTGGAAAGCTGTATAACTGCTCTTCAAATCAGCTGAATTTCATGGTATATGTGAATACATTAACTGTATATGGAAAAATGTATGCATGTGATGCCAGGAATAGAATCATCTGAAAATGAGGTAACAGTGGCCAGTGCTCATATATCTGGAGATAGTACCTGCTTCCACAAGCCAAAATGGAAAGTATCATGATTATAGAAACATTGGATAGAACACAGAAAGGTTTTGATTCAGAAGTGGGAAATTAATAACTCTAAAATGAGGACTTCTCCTGTCCCACCTAAATATACATACATACATACACACACACACACACACACACATATATATATGTGTATATATATATATATATATATATATATATATATATATATACGAGAGAGAGATGCCGTCATTCCTGAAATTTCAATATTAAGTCTATTTCTCACAAAATAGCTCTTTTAACATGTTTTAAAATATGTAAACACACCTAAAGAAGCAGAGCAGTAAGATATTGATTGCTTTAGTGTGAATTAGTTCATTAATTCTTATCTCCCACACTGACAACTCATTTAGAGAAAAAAAAAAAAACCAGTGGCATCTTACTGGCGTAAGAAATATTTGAAGGCAGCAAGCAGGAAGGACTAACCTAAAAGAAGAGGTGGAATTGCCAAAGATGAATTCAACCCTACCTCCTAATTTTACACAAGGTCAGCTCTGAAAGAAAAACAATTGCTAACATCCAATAGGAGCTCATTCCCAGCAAGATTTTATATCCCTTTTGTCTTATCACCAAATCTACTAAATGAGAACACTGAAGAATATTCCAGTCTCAATGTTTTGATGTGTCTAGTGTATAGTGGAGGAACACAGAATCTTTTATAAAATGTAGTCATAGAGAGCTGGCATAGTTTTACAAAAGGAAGGCATGCAGTGACCAGGTACTGCCAAACCTGGTCTCACAGGTGTCATTTTCTCTGTCTGTCCCTTCCAACTCAGTGCACAAATTACTGCAGCACACTGCAAATCTCCCCATGTCTCATTTCCCTTGCCCCCTTGTCTAGCCATGTACTATGAAAGTACATTTTTTTCTTGTTCCTATAACAATATTCTGTAAAGTTATATTACATTTTATTATACTGAGCTATGAACAGATTGATTATTTTTCTCACAATCTTGTATGTCCAAAATAACAAGACAAAAAAAAAAAAAAAAAGAGAGAGAGAGAGACCAATGATCAGGGAAAAGGGCCCCACATTATAATATGGACAGTTTCCTTCATGTTCAATCATTCTAGATGTCTGCTAATTACAATATCAAAGCAAAAAGGTAAGGTTCAATAATTGAGAAAGCAGACTGAAAAACATTAATAAAATCAACTTACATTAATAAGGTTTGGTTGAGAGGAGGAAAAATCATTTTTCAAAGTTGTAGCTAATTTGCAAAATGCCAGGACTGAAATGGACAAAACATTAAGCTATATGCTTAAAGATCTTCGTGTGAATGAGTAATAGTGAGTAACTTACATTGGCCTTAACCTTGCACCAAATATACTTAAAATCTCTGGGAAATATATTTTGAAATAATTAGTTGAAAACACTAGAGGGTAACCCCAAAAGGGCAGAAACTAGAGGGAATTTGATACCTGAAAGAAGGGCATTGAATTAGGTGAAACCCATTTTCACAAGTCATTTCCCAGGCTGCAAGAGTTGAGTGAAGAGAATTCACACAGAAAGCTACAGAGATGACAAGATTGAAATATACTAGATGTTGGAAACTGAGCAAAGAAATCCTGGAAGGGATGGGGTCACAGAGAAAAGAATCTCCAAATACATAGACTCCTCAAAGCATAATCCTCCGGAACTGTGTCTGTGCAAAGGACACACAGAGAGGGTTGGAAAAATGCAAGAACTAAAATGCTAAAAGAAATGGCGTGCTATTTCAGCTATTTTACACTATCCAGAAAGTTTAAAGCTTGAGTCCCATAAGGTGAAAGAGACTTAAGACGTCTTGGGCTTTCTACTGAAACCCCATGTTGGCAGTGTTTTATACATGAAAACTATGCCCTAGGACTATGGAATTAGCAAAGACTAAGCAGGAAAAGTAAAAATTTTTAAAAAGTCCCACTCTAAAAAAGCCTTTACAATTTTAAGGGGATAACCAGCAGTTCAATTGCCTGCTAGAACTAAAAAACCACATTTGATTATCTCAATAGATAAGGAAAAAAGCACATGTCAAAATTTAAGTTGCCTTGGTGGTGGACGTGCTGTGGTAACATGCAGCTGAAGAGACGTGAGTTTCTACCTCTGAAATATATATGGTATTTTATACTAACATTGCCACAATAAAAAAGGGCAATTAAAAGTAAAATAAAAAGTGCAAGGAAAAAATATTCGAGTCATTCTTGATTTAAAAAAAAAATAATAGGGCTAGAAAGAAATGTTCTCATTTGTGACAAAGTCATCTACAAAATGCCAGCAGCTAATATCATATTCAAAGAGGAAAAACAAAATTTCTTCCTCTTAAGATTGGTTCTGATGCAAGGAGGTTGATTCTACAAAACTTGGGACACAATAAAGTATGAAAAAGAACTAAAAGTCATAAATTTTAGAAGAGAAAAAGAAACTATTCATAGGCATCCTAATTTTCTACATAGAAAATCCTAAGGTGCTACAAGAACTCACATGACTTAAGGTTTACTATAAAGCAACGGTAATGAAGGCAGAAGACAGTTGCCAATGAAAGCAACTGGCATGATACAGAAAACAGAGCCACAGAACACAATTAACAGATTCACATACATGATCAACTGATTTCCAATCAAGGTTCCCAGGGGACCCAAGGAGAAAAGAAAGTCTTTTCAATAAATGGTGGTACAACTGAATTAGAGTGTAAGGGAAAAAATAATGCCGAGCCTATGAACTCAGATGCAAGAATGAATACAGTATAATTCCATTTACATGAACTTCCAGAATATGCAAAACGAATCTATGCTGTAAACAAAACAAAACATTACAGTTACTGCCTTTGGCAGCAGGGGACTGAGTGAGGAAGGACACTAGGGAACTTTTCACTGTGATGGAAATGTTCCATCCTCAATCTTGGATTGAGGTGCCAGTTATACAGAGTTGCAAGCATTTGCCAAACTCAAAATTCTTTATTTCTGATCTGTTCATCTCACTGCATATAAATTTCACCTCAATATTAAAATAATCAAGGCATGGAAGTGCAAGTGGCAATAGGGGATGGGGAACAGAACCCCTTAAAGAACAGGATAAGATAAAGATTCTAAGGAAGAGAACACGATCCTTAAGTTTTTTAAGACATTGAGGAATATGCTAAAAGTCTGGCCCCAAAACAAAAATCCAAAGTACAGTCAGGCATGAGCCAGCGGCAAGGGCCAATTCAGCTAAGATGATAATGAAAAAACAAAAACTCAATGAATAGGTAATAACACAAGATTGCCAGCTTTGGCAAATGCTTTAAATCTGGCAGACCAAACTAACGGACATTAAACAACAAAATACCAGCCAGTCCAACTTAAAACAGTAACTTTTTTAAAAAAGCATCTTTTAACACAATGCTCTTTTCATAGTTTCCATGATAGAAATTCCTGTTGAGTATGATCACATATACCAGAAACCACCCAAAACTCATTCTTACCTTCTGTGAAGCTTCCTGTTAGGGTTATTACCACAAATACTTTCCCCTCAGGCTCCAGGTCCACCTAGAAAGAGGGGGGAAAAATGAACATTACATTCTAATTTTAAATACTTTTTGTAGGTATCAAGTAATTCTTAAGAACTCCTCAACGTGCAAACAGTAGAGGGGCAAGAATTGTGGGATTTGAGTGTAAGTACAAAAATCTGTACAGATTGAAAGCAGACCAAAAAAGAAAAGAGTTCTCCCAGTGGCCCTTTCTCTTGAACTTTATTCTCTTTCAGATCTGCGAGATCAAGAACCACCCATAATTTCAGACATTATTTTGAGTCATCCTTATTTTATGTACACCATGTAGAAGCACAGCATTTTGATAAACCATATGCTAAGTGTATGAAACAGAGAAATAACAAGGTAGAAGGAAGTGAGCCCCTGGGCATGGGCACCTGCAAATGCTCAATTTTAGGAAGAAAATGAATCAAGAGGGGAGTGCTGTTGCTATACTATTCACCGGAATGTAATGCATCTTCAGGACCCACTAGGGAAGGCAGTCTCGTGAGGTTTCATTCACTGCTCAGCCTGTTCGGGGAGTAGCAACATCCCTGAAAGCTCTCATCTGTGAGCTGAGATTGCAAGTTGCACATCTGCGAATGATGTGCCAAGTCTCTCATAGATGCCAACCTCTGCATACAATCCCGGTTCCCAAGGACCCTGTGTCTGGCACCAGGATGGGCAGCACCATCCAGGCAGCTCAGATCAATGAGTCCACGCGGGCAGACTCTGCCCGCTTCAGTTGGTATGAACCTGGAACATCTCTAAGCCTTGGACTGTGGCTTCTATAGAATCCAAATACATGAATTTATCTTATCAGGTTGGCTCTATGGTCCCAGTTCTGCCTCTGACCCTTCATCTTACAAGAGTGAGGACAAGAGAAGAAGAGGCTGTGACAGAATGTTGAATAGGCTGCTAATCACATGATATGGCAGAAAAAGCTCCAAATGAGATCAGGACATGAACGTGACTGTACAGAAGGCTCTGGACTCTGGGCACGACCCCAGCCCACCCCAAGCTTCAGCCCAAGTGCCTGCAAATCCATGACATCATCCATGGAAGTCATGGATTCTGACATAGCACCTCAGATGCTCTCCAAGAACCTTAACACTTCTATTTAACTTTGCTATTATACCTGCTGGAGACAAAGACTTAAAGAAGAAGAAAGCACACACACACTGACCTTACTCTAGCTCACACCATACCTGATTATATACTTTTTCCAAATAAAAGATGCTTGTTTTGTATGAGCTGAACAAGTTTTATCTGTATTAGCCATCTATTCTTACCCACCCTCCTTTCCTCTGTGGAGAAATTGGTGTTAACCATGTGATTGCCACAATGGAGTCACTGGAAGTCAAATCTGCAACTGTATCATGACTACCACTAACTGAACAATATCCCCCTGACTACCTGAACACCACTTGTGAACCTTTATAGAACACTTCTGAAAATAGAGCTCTCTGGAGAGATGACTAAACAGGATGTCAGTCGCTAATTGTCTCCGTTCTCTGCCTTGACTTGTTTCAAGTCAAAAATATGTTATTTTTAAAAAGACACTCCCTCACCTTCAGCATAAACGCCTGCCCAAGAACACACACATGCACTCCCATTCGACCTCACAACATAAACTGGCACAGAAGAGGCTGCCTGCCTCGGGACAGACAGACTGCCAGAGAGCCTCCAATCTGCAGCCTGTTAACTCCCCGTTCCTGCTGACACTGGCCTAAGGGCCCACGAAGGAGTGATTCCACAGCCTGCAGGAGAGATCACTGCTGAGAAGCAGAAGTTCTTACAAGTAGAACTTATCATCTGCTTCCTCCTTTTCTTCTGGAGAAGCCAGGATCAAAGCTTACGTTCAAGACTCACCCCTCAGTCTGGTTGAGACCTCTGACCTTGGAACTGGGTTTTACACATGCAGATGGAAACGTATCACTAGGACATGAAAACTGCAGGGTGAGGTCTATACAATCAATTATTAGATAGAATAAAATGGACCAGAAAATACTAAGGGAAAGCACTAAGCTGTGAACCCTCTGATGGCAGGTTGAATGCATGTGTAAGGACATCTAAGTTTTAGTGTCAAAAGGCATTGCTCATGGTCTAGCAGAGACACAGTTTTTAAAATGTGAACTTACAGGTCACTATTCCCTGTACACTGTGCTTTTGGGCTCTTGTTACCTCTTCAGACCAGCAGCCAATGAGGCAGCTCCACAACTGGTCTATTTCATACCTGGGATTTCATAAAAAGGTCTTTCTCTAAGAGCAGAAATGGAGCAAGTGATACTTCCCACTCTTTGGCCCCTACAGCAGTAATGGATATTTCCCTCTAGATAGAACAGCTATCCCAGCATCTGAAAACAGTGCTTGAGCTTTATTCAGGAACTACTCCTTCCCTCACAAGGAGTGCAAATGGTTCGGCTGTGACCCACCCCGACTTCCAGAACAGGCAGGTGACCCAGACCTTACCCTTTACAGCGCTGAAAGTGCCCAGCCAGCATGTGTGTTCTGGAGCTGCCACTACTTGAGTAAGTGGAACTCCATACCCTCAGGAACTGGCAAGTTATTTCATTTAACCTGAGAGATCAACAAAACTCATTCTGGGTCTAGAAGCATAATAGGGAATGTAGTAAAAATTGCAGATATAAATACACATTACCTGTCTGAAGCTTCTTATCTAGGGATTTGGGGTTTGCAATCTTTCTGTCTGGAAAATCTTTTTTACTTGTTAAACTCCTCTTTGTTCATCAAGACTCAACTCAAAGCATCTTTACAGGGAGCCCTTCCCAGACTTCTTTTAGTCATTAGGCAACTCCATGCCCTTCTGGGACCATTGCTAGAATACCTCAAATGGTAGTTATTATGCCTTGCCAGAACCCTGACTTTATGGAATGAGTGAGTAAGTAGGAACATCCCAAAATCCTTCAGCAGCTTGACTAACTCTTCCTTCACCATGTTGATCAGTTTCCTCTAAATACACAATTTCTCCACATTCCCTTGAAATAATAGCAATCTGCATTTATAACCTGATTCTCACTGGTGAGAACAAGATTATCACCAACCTTGACCTTGACCGTGCCCTTTGCTGATACAGCTGCAGACTGCATGAGCTGGTTGAGCAGCCCCAGTGATCGAGGTTGAGTTTGCTATCAAGTAAAATCTCCACCTCCCTCTGTGCTGTTAGGCTCTGCTTTGCACATCCTCTGCAGTGGTTTAGCCCCCAATCCTAAGAGCTTTGTTCTGTTTTGCAGTATATCAACTTGTTACAGACCTCAAGGCTGCCTAGATCCCAAGTATGGTGGGCTCATTCACACTCCTCCTCAGCTTCATGGCCTCCCTTATCAGAGTCTAGGTTAGCTATGTCATGAGCAAGGACTGACAGAACAGCTAACAGAATAGGACTGGGCATGCACTTAACAGTCTTTCTGTGATAGCCCTGCAGAGATGAATGACTATATTTAAGCCCCTCTCTCCTACAAATCACTCCTCTTGGTAGAGGGCAACTCCTAGGATCTGGAGAAACCCAGAAAGGAAAGTTCTCTTTAAAAGGGTGTTATACACAAACACATAAACGAACAAAAATTCAATGTCAACAAATGATGCTACAGCCACTGAATGTCTATATACAAAAACACTATAACCTGTACAAAAATTCAAAATGGATCTACACCAATATGTAAAATCTGAGAAAACTTTAGGGCCTTGAGTCAGGCAAAGACTTCTTAGATATGACACCAAAAGCACAATCCGTGAAAGAACAAAATGACAAATTGGATTTTGTTAAAAATGTAATTTTCTACTCTTTAAAAGATAGAATCAAAAAGGCCAGCTATGAATTAGGAGAAAAATACTTATAAATCACACATTGTACATATTTGCAATCACTTACCGATCGCTTCAGAATAAAGAACTCAACAAAAATCAATAACAAGAAAACAATCCAACTTTAAAAAAATAGGTTTTTATCACTATATTGCCAAAGGAGAACTAGAGATGGCAAATAAATAGTCATGAACAGTTTAATGTCAATAGAGAAATGCAAATTAAAACCACAATGTATATCTATTAGAATGGCTAACACAAGCATGTATGACCTCTCAAAGCTTTTGTAAGAATGTGGAACAACTGGAATTCTCATACATTGTTGACAAGATTTCTATCACTTGGGAAACAGCTTGACATTTTCTTAAAAAGTTCTGTACACACCTCTCATTCGATGGAGATATTCCACTCCTAGGTATTTAAGAATAAAGAAAGCCTATGTCCATACAAAGACATATACACAAATATCAGAAGAATTTCTTTAAATCACTATTGCAGTGCACAATGGGCTAGTATACAACAACAAAAAATAATGCACTATTGATGTAATAACATAGAAGAATACGGAATCAAATATACCCCCCCTCAAAGAGAACATTATATGTTATTCTGTGTATATAAATGTCAGGAAGGGCAAACTAATCTATAATGGCAGAAAATATATCAGGGGCTGCCTGGGTATAGAGTAAGGGAAATGAGGTAGGTGGTGGGGAGGGATTAAAAGCAGGTCAGAGCATACCACAGCAATTAAATGGAGGAAGAATGCTCTTTATTTAATCAATAAAAAGAAAAAAAGGTGCTAGGACAGCATATGCAATGGAACGAAGTTGGACCACTATATCTCATATCATATGTAAACTTGAACTTCAAAATGGAATCACTGAACTAAACATAAGAGCTAAAACTCTTAGAATGCCATAAGTTGCCTGACCATAGGTTAAGCAATCATTTTTTGGTTATAACATCAAAAGTACCAGTAGCAACAACCAAAACCTGATAATATGATTACATCAAAACTTAAAACTTATGTGATGTAAAAACAAACAAATAAGTGTTTACACCTTGCTGCCCAAATATCCTTTCCAAAGGTGCCACTTTCATCAACTCGCCCCCATCAAAGCTTGGGTGGCTTCCCAATATCTTCAAAATAAACCACTGTGCACCATCTGGCTTTCCAGGCCACCTGGACTCCCC